CCTGTGGAAAATGGCCCTTATTCTTGTTTTGCCAGTGGTTCACACTGCGTACAGATCACACTGCTCTCTTAAGTCGAGGAACCAACGGCCATAGACCACTTCAAATCAATCTCTGATATGCCTGTTCGCTGAATTACGACACATTCTACCTAAGTTCCGAGAATCATAGATCAGACAGCTTATCCTGCCTTCCATTGGACGATCCGGACACTCAAGAGGACGATGACGTAAAAGTAATGATTTCCACTTTACAGTCAAGAGAGCTTGTCGCCGTAAGTAAGACAGAGTTCCAAGAAGCCAACCAAAGTGATCTGAATTCACAAGCCGTTTCCCGCTACCTCTTTGAGGGCTGGTCTCGTTACACAAATTCTAAGTTGAGAGCTACGCGCGTTTTATACTTTACGGCATGAAGTTGCAGTCATTGATGTTTCTCCATGCAAGGTTCGTGGCTCCACATGAATTGACATCAAAACTCATCCAATGCGCACACGAACATCTTGGCATGGTGAGGACGAAACACCGGTTGCGGGAGCATTTTTGGTGGCCGCATATGTCAAAAATGGCAGAAGCGTGTGTTCCTTTGTGTGATGTGTGTCAGAAAGCCGACAGCAGCTCGAAGTCGATTGATTTACCTGTTCAGCCGATTGTTTATCTCATCAGGCATGGCGCAGTCACACGGTCAGTGGCGTTCCTGCATTCGGTTTATTGCATCTAGTTAATCCTCATTCCATTCTGATGAATTTAATGCACTTCGTCCTTGCTTCTATTCTTTACATTCTATTTACATGCAACCCCACTATCTTGACGTTCTTATTTCTTGCGATGAGTCCTGGCAACTGGATCCACCGCACTTCAGCACTCGGATCATAGTGGTTCAACTGAACCGAGCTGGACGTGACTGGTGGAGACATTTTTCTCTCTACCATCAGGGTTGCAGTTAACGAGGCCGACTTCTGTTTTTGATTGGATAAGACCGGCCCACGGACCGTCAGCTAGAGTAGTACGTAAGTTCCGTTAGTTGATCTTCGATCAAAGCAAACGAGTCGTTCGTGAAGAGTAGTGTTTGTAGCAGTACAAAGCAAGAAACGGATGCAATGCAACGCGTCATGAAGGACAGGCTCCCATTGTGAAATTCTTATGTTCCTGTATCGTAGAGCGAGTGAAATGGTATTCCAAAGAGTCGTTAAGGCGTTCTACTTGAGCATTAGCTTGTGGAGTGTAGGCACTTGTGTGACTAGTTGCCACTCGCTTGTCCACTAGGAACTTAGCAAGCTCTGTATACATGTATGAAAGTCTTCAGCCAGAATGTATGTACGCCGGCATACCACTAACAGCAACGAATTGGTAATCACATGACGATGGTAGAAGCAAGCATATTCACGTATTCGAATGTGAAAGCAAATCTACTGTATTCATCAACGACAGTCAGTAAATTTATATTGCAAGTCGTTGTAGGTAAAGCTCCTTTGCAATTCATGCTGAGCCGTTCGGACGGCTGTGTAGGTTTGTTGAGTCGGCCCGTGGGTGGCTTGTAGGATCGGGGCTTTTACACTTCACAAACTGTATACTTTGAAATCGTACTTTTTTCAACGGAGTAAGGTAGGTTTGTAGAGCCTACGAAGAGAACCACTTCAGTTACACCTGGATGGCACAATGAGTTGTGGAGTTCCATTTTCGTGCCGTTACTGTTTGAGGCATACGAGAAAGTACATCTGCAACCTGATTGGCTTTACCCGATCTGTAACTTATATCGTATTGATATGCAAAGGATTCCAGTCGCCACCTCTGGATTTTATTGTTCTTGCTTTTGCTTATTTGACTAGCACCGTACATGAAAGCCACGGATCGCGGTTCCTTGATAAGTTTGAAATGTGCCCCAAAGTGATAGTGTCGCCATTTTTGGCCGTTTCCACAATAGCGTCCGACACTTTTTCATTAGCTACATGATGTTTTGTTACTGGGGGATAAGGTACACGTGAAAAAGGCGATTGGGAAACTGTTCTGACCAAGCGAGTCAGCTATGGTTATGTCAGATGCATCTGTTTCGACAGCCAATGGAATACTGTACTCAGTTGTCACGACCATAGCATTTTCCAAGGGCATTTTAAGCTCTACGAATGCTCTTTTTCCATGCGGTGGAAGGGGGAAGACCCGGTTCTTTACGAGCTTACTGGTTTTGTCTGTGAAGGAATTGAGCCACTGAGTGATGGGCGAACATGTTAACATTTCAGATCTGTTGGCGATGGAAGTTAACGCAGAGGTTTCAGGCTTTCTGCATCGAGTCTGATTTCGCCCTTAGATATGTAGTAACCGAGGAAATGAATTTCCTCGCAGGCGGTGACGGTTTTAGCTTCTTTCCAAATGATGCCGTATTTAGCAACAGCTACCAATCACTTCTGGAGGTTTTGATTATTATCGCCCATAGTTAAACCACACACAGTAACGTCTATACAAGCGAACTACTCGCTGAGATCTTCCGTTTTCATTACCCTATCGATATTACCCTGAAAACAAGCCGCACCATTAGTGACATCAAATGGAATACGACAAAATTGGAAAAGGTTTCCCCATGCTTCATACACGGTGTACGACTTCTCGTGCTCAGCATTGGGGATCTGATAGGCCTTTTTCAGATCTAGTGTACTGGATACGGCATTATAAGAAATCAGTCCTCACATTTTGTCAATTCATGATAATGGATAAGCGTCTTGCATTGTGAAACGGGTGATCGTCTGGTTGTAATCAACAACCATTTTTTTGTGCTGGGTATTTTTGGTAACCAGTACCTGTGCTCTCCAGGGAAAGCTTGATGATGTCGTTTAACAATTACTGTATTTTAGCCTTTATGAAATGTTCATCATCAATTGAGCGTCCACAACACTGTGGCGAATGGATTACGGTCAGAGGACAAGTTGGCAAACAGTGGAGATAATTCAATGTTGGCTACAGTTAGTCCACGCAGCGCGAAAGTGCCGCCCCCCCCCCCCATCGAATCATATTTACACTTTGTTATGCAAGCCAATAAAGTCATGGCCGAGTGACACATCAGTGCATAGGTTAAGCAGAACGGAAAGCCGAACATCGTTGTATACAATGTTTTGGTAGCGAATTCGTTCGTTGCAATATGTTGGAATGGCGCGCCACAGAGAAGTGCAAGCCAGTGTACTTTTGGAGTCAGAACTTTTGATTTTCCCTTGGTGGGAGTAAACGACAGCTTGAGACGCATAACTATCAGAAGTGCCAATATCAATTACGGCATGCAGTTCGGTGTTGTTTACCAGAATTTTGGTTGTTGTACAAGACAAACAGTTTGGAACCGTAGCCGTCAAAAGTGAATGTAGTGCTGATGTGGTGGATGAAGTAGTGGGTTTGCTATTACACACACACTTTTGAAATGCCTCGTTTTCCCACAAGTCTTGCAAGTGGCATCTTTCGCGGGACACTTTAAGCTGGGGTGTTTAATATATCTAAAGAAATAACATGTTACCGTGGACACCGCTGACAGTCCGTTCAGCCTCAGCTGAGTTAGTGGAACAGGATTTGTCGTGGCACGGGGAATGGTTTTAGTTTCATAAAACTGGGACTGTTTCAGAGCAACCTCCAGAGACCTTGCCACATCATGGGTAATCTGAAAGTTTGTAACTGGCTGCTCTAGGAGCCTCATTCTAATGCTGTTTGCATCGCAATATCCGACAAATTGGACACTAAAAATCGCTAAAAATTTGACGCTTTGCGCAACTCGATCGATATTTTGTCCACATTTCAGCATGCACGTAGTTAAAAGATATCGAGCAAAAACCACATTTTAGGGCGCACTTACATTGAAACGGCATTTTTGAAGGTGTTGCATTCAGCGACATGCTGATACACGGAAGGAAATCGAAAGTTAACATGCATATCTGGAGTATCCGAGTCGTCATTTCGAGCTGGCTTTAAAAAGACCTTAGATGTTCGAAGCTAATAGATCCACTTTTTATGGGGCATATGGAACATTCAAATCAGTGTCGAATTTAACAAGACGAAGATAACGTTCCATAATGTTGTTAGACCAGTAAATTGATGCGTTCGACGGAGAGAGCGCAACAAAACGAATAACAGAATGTAGGTAGTGTATACTTTACTAGTCTAACAACGAAGGTGCATCAGCTGAAAGCTAAAAGAGCTGCTTATGATGTACTATGTAAAAGGGGGCAAGTGAATGCATACACCATGTTACAACTACACACTCGCATCGGATTCGACCGTTTATCACGGCCGTAACAAGATCTCAGATGTGTACCACATTCTACACCGGCAGCGACTGTGCAAGGCCTCCGTTATCTCAGCTTCCCATGCACGCATGCGTTGCCTCTATCTGTGTGGTTGCTCCGACGCTAACTGTCCGATCTACCGTACACAATCATCGTTCGATTTACTTAATACATTGACGTAATTACGCTTCGAAGATTCTAGATTTTTACTCACTTTCTCTTCTGTTTACTTGTTTTGCGGATCGGTTAACCTCCCCTTACGATAATACTTAAGCTTTCCCAGCAACAGTTTGTTACGACGTCTTCCCTCTGTGTATCTTTAGCTGTTGATCTAATGGCACACCTTTTCATCACCTATTGTGTCACTAAATGCACAATTATGACGTTGATCCTTCTCGGATGCCGCTTCTATTCTTACCATCTTTATCATATGGATAATTGTTGCCAAGTGACCAAAAGGATCGCACGTCTGGCTTGTAATCCTTAGGTCACCGGTTTGAATCCGCGTAGGGGTGAGCTTCCTCGCAGGATACTCAGCCCACGCGCGATTAGTGGTGGTCGCCTCGCAGCGAATCGTCGGTACGGTGTGTCGGCATATTACTGAAGACATATGAACGATTGCGTCGTTGTCAGTTTATCGCTTCTTTTTTTATTACGGTCTGTTACCAATTGTGCTGCTTCCTGCGACCACCGAGGATGATTGTTTTCCCTCTCCTATCGGTTGTTTTGCCTCTACTTTCATCCTCTCAGATATTTGCCTTCGATCCTGTCGACAACGCCCGCTACATGCGGCCTTTGTTCTATCACCAGCGGATCCCGGTTTCTGTAGTCGACCAAGAAGGCCCCGAATGTGTGTGATACTTGTGTGCGGCAGCTATTCGAAACCCGAGGGAAAGTCATCCATTGCACTGTCCTTCATGTGCTTCTGCTACATCTCAGTTCCCCTTTCCCCCATCCTGTGCATTTGTTTTGTTTACTGCCCGCCCTGATCCATGGTATTGTGTATCATCGCCTTGTCACTGCTCTGTCCCATTTGTTGCCTTCTCTCTCTTCCTGGTGTAGGTTATTTGACTATTTTTCTACCTCCAACACGTTTTTGCCATCGTTTCTCCTTCAGTTTTACTCCACCCTATTCTGCAAATTACCACGACTTTTCCGAGTGCATCAACAAATTCGCGCTTATTTGCTGCTCTGGCTAACTGCTTTTCTTTTTCTTGCTTTTCCACTCAATGAAACCGCTCGTCTTCACTTTTCTATAAACCACCGGGCTTTCGCCTTTGTGTTCATTTGCTGTTTTTCTGAACAGAATTGTGTATTTGTTGTTATTCTTATTTTTAACGTACTTTATATACTAAGTGACGTAACACGCTTCTTTCTTTCTACTCACTCGGTACCACTCCGAATCCGTCCATTCCTCATTATCATTAGGGTCAAACAGGCGCATAATATCACCCGGTGCCCACGAACTGGGTCCACTTATGATCGATCATACCTACTCCAGTTCCTGTTAAATAATTCCCCCGACACTTAATTCAGAGTAAACACATGCTACTACGTGAATTCACTTTTCTATTTTGATATGATATGCATTTTACACATAGGATTATCTTTGGGAATGCGAGTGTTCCCTTCTACTAACTGGTTTTGTTGCGGCAGTTGAGATGGCTGGGTCACGTCCTACGCATGGCACCTGAGCGTCTACCGCGTCGCGCTCTATTCGCTCCTCAAGGACCTGGCTGGAGGCGACCGCGTGGTGGTCAGCCCTCTACATGGCGGCAGCACATGAAATCGCTGACGTCATGTCTAGCCGCTGTAGAACCCCTACGTTTTCCAGGATGGGGACTTAAGGATGAGGAGTGCCAATGGCTTAGCACTATTGAAGATATGGCCCGCAACCGGATTCAGTGGAAGAATTGTGTACAGTATTGTATTGACTCACATGTTTAATACTTCAAACATTGAAAATGACAAAAAAGCGAAAAATCGGCGTGTGAAAAACAAGCTAAAAATGTTTGGTTCTACTTTTTGTCAAAATGTTCCATTCTTCTTGCGGCATATTATATTTATTCACAGTCTGTTAACAGACATTGTGCCATCAGAACCATGGCAGAAGAAAAAGGTGAAGAAGATGGGGACACTAATGCGTTTAAAAAATATGGGAAACGAATTTTTTTTAGTTTTACACACGCCATTTTGTATCTTTTTGTTTTGTGAGTTTTTGTGTGTATCAAAGGGATGGTGAAATTGCGGAACAACATTGCCGCCACTGATGTCTGTTGCGAGCCATGACGTCCAATGTTTCCAACCACTGCAATTCAGCATCTCGTGGTCCCCAACCTGGAAGGCGGACTGTTCCGACTGCTGCCAAACTTGAGGTCGCCTTCTTCATACTCCTTCTCCACGTCATCGGCTGTCCACCGCGGCACTTTTTCCAATCGCTCCCTGGGAGTGCAAATAGCGCTCGACGTGGAAGGCGATTGGCTGGCATGCGCAGAACATGCCCGAGCCAGCGCATACGATGTCGGAGAATAACGTCTTGGAGACTGGCACTATTCGCCCCAAGCACGCGGTCTCTCACCTCTGCGTTGCTTACGTGGTGTTGCCACCACACCCTAGCAATCCTTCGTAGACAGCGATTATCAAAGACTGATAGCTGCTTCATATCTTCCGAGCGAATAGGCCGTCTTACAGCCGTACAAGAGTACTGCACGGACGGAAGCATTGTACACCCTGCCCTTGAGCTTGAGACTGACATCACGACGACGCCATAGATGTCTCAGTTTGATGAATGCAAGGCGGGCCTTTGCAATCCGTTGTGAGACTTCATCTCCAACACCGCCACCAGCCGTGATGCAACTCCCTAGGTAAGTGAAGCAAGGGACTTGCTCCAGAACATGTCCAGCAATGGTGAGCGCGGGTTCAGGCACCTGCCAATCCTGGAGCAGCGTTTTACATTTTCCCGAAGTGAAGCACAGGCCGTACTTAGACGCCTCCATCGCCAAGCGGTCCAGAGCGTTCTGGACGGATTGTGGGTCGTCCCCCAGCAAGGCGATATCATCGGCATAGTCCAAGTCCGTGAGTCTATCTCCAGGGAGAAGCTCAACACCGCAGTCCTGAACACCTTCCAGTGCTCTTTGGAGAACGTCTTCGATGGCGAAATTGAAGAGGAAAGGTGAAATAGGGCAACCTTGGCGAACACCGCTGGTCACAGCGAATGAAGAGGAGTGCGTGCCGTAAGCCCTAACTTTGCCCGACGTGTGACTGTAAAGTACTTTCAGGATGGTTACAAACTTGTCGGGCACACCTTTCTTCAGTAAACAGTGCCACAACGCAGATCTATCTACTGAATCAAATGCCACTCGGATGTCCAAAAACACTACGATTGTTGGCCGCCGGTGGATGTGACGAAGTTCGAGAACTTGCCGAAGCGTGAAGATTTGGTCGATGCAGCCACGGCCTGGACGAAATCCAGCTTGTTCTTCTCGGGAAAACTCCTCTCTAGTCGTTGGAAGCCTGCCAAGTAGGACCGACACGAAGATTTTGGATGCGACAGAGATTAGGGAGATTCCGCGGTAGTTGCAGCAATCGGCGCGGGAACCCTTCTTGTGAATCGGGACAATGATCGATTCTCCCCATGAGCTCGGAACCTTCTCCTCAGTCCAAACTTTCGTGAACAGCGATAGGATTTCGCTGATAAGTACACTCCCACCATCTTTGAATAGAGCTGGTGGTAGGTTGTCGGGACCCGAAGCTTTGTGGCGTTTCAAAGATTGGACTACATTTCGAATCTCTGCTTCATTTGGGGGGGCTGTGGAGACAGGCCAAGCATCATATACTGGGGAAGGAGGTGTCGCAGGGGACTGTGTTGGGTGGTTGAATTGAAGAGCGAAATGCTCTGACCAGCGACCCAATCGTCTGCGAAGGTTGGTGATCTTCGTGCCGTCTGCCTCGCAAATCGTCTGGCTGATAGCGTGGAAATTGCAACCAGTGGCCCTGATGATGTAAAACAGACGGCGGAAGTTGCCAGCTGATGCAGCGGCTTCCATCTCACCAGCTTGTTTTGACCACCAAAATTCACGATCAGAGCGAAGGCTTGCTTTCAGCTGTTGCGTAATAGACCGGCGGTGTTCGTTGTACTCTGCGCCAGCAGGCACCGCCCGTCGACGATCCAGCAATTCTGAGGATTTTCCCGAGATCCAGCATTTTGGAGTGGAGCGGCATATTAGCAGAAGTGTGTTGCTCACCTTCAACTACTATGTCACGATGATTATGATGCAGTGACTGTATTTTATCCGCTGATCTCTTTGGTTTTCTATTGGTTCTATGTCGAGTTACTGGACTGCTGAGATTACATACACACAGGATCATCCTATTCGGTGACCACCAAAACACATTGATCGCTCGCCGCTTCTTGCTTTGTGTAGCGCGTGAATACGCTTGAAGATTCAGCTCGAGCAATGACAATATGAGAGACATCCCACGCCACAGCTTCCGTGATCCATGCGTTTCATTGAAGCAACATTGATCGTTTCGATGTTTCCGTCCGGTTTATCAACCGCTCAGCGAGATACCAATATCCTCATTTTTTGACCCATGCATAAGTAACTCCAACTGCGTCCGGACGATTTCTTCAGGCATTTGTCTGCATTGGTGTTATTTTGCCTTACCACTATTCGGAAATTTGCGCCGTTCGGTCACGCAAGTAGTGTCGCCTACTCATTCAAGAGACTGGACGATTCTCCCCTAAGTGATTATCTTGGCGGCAAAAGCCAACAACAGCCGTTAATGTTTTGAGATGCATGTGACCTTTGCACAACATTTATAGAAGTTAATTGGTTTAATTGCTGTCTCTGTCTTGGTAACCTAGGGATCAAACATCAAGAAGGGTATGCATGAAAAAGGACATCAACGGTACGCCGTTACGCAGTACCGATGCTTCGCTGCCGCGCAACCACCACCACTCGCGCATGCGCTAAGGACACTGCGAGGGTCGCCCATTCCCCTACGCAGGCTTGAAACCGGGGCGTCATGATTGCAAGGCAAGGTTGTGATCCATAAGCCGGAAACGTATGCAGATGCATACGAACTCCCCGATATGGTTGTGGACACTGGAAAACCTCAGCATCCTTGCGCAACTATGCTTCGGGCACCGAGGTGCAGCGGATCCAGTTACCTTGAAGTGTCTCATCTTAGTACTCCGGATGAACCAAATAGGCGGCAGAAAACAAATAAAATAACAGACAGCTCCGTCGGTATTCAAGTCGGCATGAGGAGCTATCGTCGCTCAATAAAATGACCAACGTAGAAACTTATAAATCATCTGCAATAGCTTCACTCATTTTGCAATTGTGCTATATTGAACAGAACTTTTAGCCACCATTATGATCTCGTCCGCCATGACTATCCACGAGGACGGCACGCACCAGTTCGACTAAGTCCCAGTCGCTTTCTTCACTCCTTTGTGTTGCGTATTCCGTCGGCATTTTGATGCTTCGCCCAACTAAGCGCAATAGCAGACACCCAGATTATTTATGCATTAGCGATCAAAGCCAATTAACTTTCTAATCTCTTCAGCGCCCATTAAACGTAACTCTATTCTAGTTAGTGACGCCGTATTCATCGATACATCGTACAGTCCGTCCTTGGTTTGCTGGTTTATATCCCACCTCCTACACAGCTGTTTTTAAGTTTGAAGATCCCAACCAGCCCCACCGACGCGCTCCGCGATCTCCATCTATTCAACTACTATACCAGATAAGAAAGGCGGACTATCATTTCTAGTGGCTCCGCAGCGATAATGAGAACAACGGACACATCGGTCAAGCCATTTAATGGTGCTTTTCAACGTATGGCGCATGCCAAGGCACTCCGCATACGTCTACCTAGAATGCATGGCAGAACAGCTTGATAGAACCTAAAGAGAGGTTGCAGCCCGCGTAGTTGGTCTTTTTGCCACCCAACAGACCTCCCACTGCTAGTAAGGGCGTCATCTGTACGCCGACACATCGTATCGATGCTTCGTTGCCATGTGACTCCACCATTTTGCGTGCGTTAGTTATACCGCGAGTACACCCACACCTACGCGGATTCGAAGCGATGACCTCCGGATTGCAATGTAGGCGTATAATCCTTTCGATTACCGACTGCTGGAGAACAGATGGTTGTTTTTGATCTTTTCACTCTCAAGATTGAGATGAAATGAGTAAGGTTCGATAGCCCTAACGCATCGCACCAGAACTGAGCTCTGGGTCGGATTATAGACTCATTCGGCGTCGTGAGTCCTGGTGTAGAGATTTCAGTGCTGCAATCAATATCCGATCCACTAGTCAGGGGTAAGCAACCACACACGATCCTGGGTAGCTTG